ACCTACAAAGCAGGGAAACAGCGACACCATTCAAAAGGATCGACAGGTTGAAACTGGAGGTCCTTCTGGTGTGCGCCTGGCATCCGGTACGCCTTCACCGGTTCCTTGAGGCGCATGCTCCGCGGCACCTGCCGGAGCTGAAGCACGTGGAGTCTTTGGCCCCGTCAGAACAAATGAGGCAACATGACATGGGAGAAGTGCGGGGGGGGGGGGGGGGCAAAGTGCGTGTTCCCTTAATGCGTCCTCCCAAAACCAACAGTGGAGTACCAGTTGTGCTGTCATTGGCTCACGTGATTTCCTGTCATACAACATGTGTGGGGAGGTTTTCTCTATTGGGGGTACGATCCCCCTCCATGCAGTACTTTCGGGATGTACGTCAGACCCACTTCTGGGGTTTCACGTGCTTGTTCGTGGACCCGCTTTGGATGCTGAAAGCGGCAAATTCCGGCGGTTTTGATTTTTTGGCGCACACCTTGCAGCATATCCGGTTTATAGGACTGCTTTGTTGCTGCCTGAAAGTGCCTAAGATCCAAATTTGTTCCCCCGTTGAGGGCTCTCTGGTTCCAGACGGGCAGGGAGCTTCATCATCGGCCTATATAGACACTATGTTGCGCCATCCTCACGCAGGGCTTGACCGATGGAGGGTTAGCTGCTCTGAGCTGCAAGAATGCGCAGGCGATCCGGATGAAGTGCGTATGAATGCCAACCATCAGCAAAGTCCAAAAAAGTATGGGCCCCACATGTAGTGTGGGGCAATCCGCTGCTTCCTCAAGCGGCCACTCAGCAAAGCATGGCATGACAGAAATGGGCAGGTGACTCCCACTGCGCCATTCTCGTTGCAAACGCGCCTCACATGCCACCTCCAATCAATTCCTGCGCTCGCTGGAAGCGCTTGATCCTATTTGCCGGAAGGCGAGTCTCACCTGCCCACCAGGCTGTCGTGGCTGCCCGGCCACTGGTGAGAGCTTCAGGCTTTAGGCTATCGCGGCTTCCATCACGTCTGTCAAGCTCTGTCTGTTACAGCTCTGTCACAGCTTGTTGTCACCTCTCTCTCTCTCTCTCCGTCTCTCTCCCCCTCTCGCAGACTCTCTCGGCTCTGTCACATCTGTTTGTTATTGGCTCTGCGTCTTACAACTGTGTGTTACAGGCTCTGTCGGGGGGGCGGGCGATGCAAACCGGGTTGTGGAGGTCGGATGTCACTCAAAATCTTTCAAGCCCAAACCTTTGGAGGGGATGGGGGGGAACAACCCCGGTGAGGCGTCTCTTCACCACGGTCGTCAAGTGCTCCAACCCATCGGCGCGCTCGGCGAGACGCGCCTGGGGAGCTGCCTCCCCAAGGAGGCACACCTGAAAGCCCTCGCAGAGGTCACGCATCACCACCTGGCAGGCTGCGCAAGCAATGCAGGTGATGCTGCTCTCAAAACTGGCGGGCCGCGAACGGCTGGCTTGTTTCTGAAGGTTCAGCAATGAGACAGGTAATGCTTGCCCAAAGCGACAGCATGCCGAGCATATTCAGTTTGAAGAATCCGGTTGCGTGAACGTATCTGGGATGTTAGTCGAGCCGGCTAGTGCTCCGGTTGCCAGCGTTCGTTGGTTCAGGCTGAGGATGGCGCCAAGCGGGAGTTTGTTGTACTCCATTCTTCTCCACTGGCGGCATGGTTGGATACAGGTCACCTCGATGATTCTCCAACACAACAATAGGCTTCGGTAGACACTTGCCCAAGAACGAGCGAAAGGGAAGACCCAAGTCTCCTGTGGTTAAACTTTATGGTTTACCTTGTAGGGAAAAAAACAAAGGGCACCTAACGTGGTGTTCACCCCTCCAATCATGGCAGCTGATGATCGGGTGTTGCGGGGAGACGGCTGTCCTTTTCGAGAAGGCCCAAAGCGGAGGGCCTTGGGCCACCTTCAGAATGCTCGAGTCTCCGTTGGCTTCCCAATACCACCCATCGGGGGTCCCGAATTTCAGGAAGCCCAGGTTTTCCAGGGAGGAAGTGCCAAGTGCTTAGCTTCCCCCGAATCCCAACAGCTCCAACACGACTTCCTCGTCACTCGGGGCCATTGCGAACCAAGCGTTCTGATGGGCCATGAAGGCAAGCCATGACCGTCCGATGGCTGCGGTACTGCGGTACTTGTGGGAGTCACACAGGGGCGATGTTTATGCGGAAATCTATCAAGCCCTTTGGAAACACTGAGATGGTCGAGAACTCGTAGAACGATGTTTTGCGCTCTGGGATTACATGGGAAATGACCCAAACTGAGCCAACATGAGGGATGGCTTGGCCCATGAGCGTAACTGAAAACTCGCGAATGACAAGGTTGAGACAGCGCCTATATGCAGGGAAATCCGCGCAACCATCGATAAGTCAACATATTCCGCCAGAGTGCCCTTGTGGTCCATCCACTCCACCCTGCAATCTTCCCGATCAAGACACATCTTCATAGCCCAAGCGTGGCGAAACTCAGCATTGCGAAGCGGGGCCTTTTCAGTTCCTCTGCCACTGTTGTGGGACTCTTGTGGCATACCTCCAAAAGTACCACACTTTAGTTTCAAGGGGTTTGCCAACAAGGGAATTACCCTCCCATCAATAGACCTGGTGCCTTGAGCAAATCGCCCTGCTATGGCAATCATGTTGAAACAAGAAACTGTCTGAGCACAATATCTGAAAGATGGGAAGGATTCTCATATCATTCATCACGAAGCCCGCGGTTCCAGCTCACCCAAGCTTGCCACGCGGCATGTTTCTCGGCGCCAATCGGAACATGTTGGCCTTCGTATGAACCAAGGGATGCCCATTGGCTTCATGGTTTCCCCCACAGATTTCTAACGTATATGGTCCAATTTGGGGAAGGGGATCCTCCCTCCGACAACGGACGCAAATAAAGCGTACAAGTCTCCAGTAGATCACTATCCTGCACCAGGAACCTTCTGTCACCTTCATAGATGGGGGTAGCCCAGTTGAAACCAATGACCTTGGTAAACAACAGTTGAACCCCTTTGTGGTCGGTTGGTTCCACCAGTGACTAGTGGCGAACCCACCTGAAAACAAAAGGGCAGGGGTGGAATCCACTGAGCGATTGGGGTTGGAACATTGCCTTATTTGTGATACCAACATGGGCCATCATGGCTACTTGGAGCTTGGAAAGGATAATGGCCAACAAAACCAACAACTTTCCACACCAGCTTGCCCCAGCCGCAAATCGCCGCTCGCACCTCCAGGTGCTCGATCTTCTCCAGGGGCTTCAAAGAGGCTAGGCCCTCAGAAACTGGTGATGAGCGGAATGTAGTTGGCAAATGGCTATGCTTCCCGTATCTGAACCAAGGAATCCCAAAAAAATGGGGAATCTTCATCATGGGTGAGGTCGTTTTACCTTTTGTGTAGTCAACAGTAGGGCACCCGTGCCGCCGGGTACCAAAAATGGTGCCCATCATGATAACAAACCCATGTGAGTCACAATCCAGACCGCGCTGCTCACATGCTTTCAAGGGTCCACCCAAAATCATGCGAAGAATCCAAGGGGTGGAATGCCGTGTGTGTGTGTGTGTGTGTGTGCGCGTGCCGGGACTGTCCCCTAACCTTCAATTACAAGTTTTGGATTGTGGCTCGTGTCTCAAACTGCGGTAGCCCTTTAGGTGACTTTGGCTTTGGGGATTCCTTCCGTGCGAAGCTGACCGGGGATCCACTCATGTTGCAGGGCTCGCATTCCCATAAATCACCATCCCGAGGAAAATCAACTGAAATTGGTCTGCTCAAAAGAAGCGTCCCAGTCAGTCTCCCAAAGACTCTGACTTTGGGGCCTTCGATTTCCCAATCTTGAGTTCACTTGCTCGCTCCAGGCAGTCGCGACAGGAGAGGAAATGTGCTTCTGAGCTATGCGCCAGCGTTGGCCGCCCGTCCATCGCTGGCCTACACCAAGCATTCGCTGGAAAGCGGCATCGGTTCAAAACTGGGAACTTGCCTTTTGACCCCCGGTTGACAAAGGGGACGTCCTGCAAAGGAAGGTTTGGCACTGTTAGGAAGGCCTTGCTATGTTCATGAAAAAGCGGTGCAACCACGTGGTCCTTCTGTCAAAAACTGGGCCGCTGGGAGCACAACCGAACAAAAAAATCGGTGTTGCCAGCAGCTGGGGCTGAGCCAATATCTCTGGTCTGCTACAGCGAAACCAAAGCGAAATCAGGCCCCATTTGCGTGGTTCCTGTAAAAGACAAAGGAACAAACCCCTGGCCCGGGATGGTTTGATGCTGAACTCAGCAAGTAGCTTTGAGATTGGTCATGACACCTGCGAAGTGGGAAGTCTTTGAACAGAGTGGCGCCCATGCGATTCAAAACCAGTATCCACAAGAAGGGTTGGACTAAGGATGCTATCTGCAGAGGGCGACCCTGGTAGAACAAAGGAATGCGTTTTGGGGCTCGAACATTTTTACGGAGAATCCACCCAAATGATACAAACAGGAGCAAGGGATAACACGGTGGAATGCGCTCGGTGAGGTCATGGCCGGAAGTTCAACCGCTGCGATTCTTTCAGGAGGTCACGGACTGCTAATTAGCACGCCTGCCCGCATGTCCATGGAACGCAGGACACTTGTTTCAGCGGGTCTCACAAAAGCATGCTGAGAAGGGGAACCAGAACACGTATTCAATGGGACTGATTTGACTGAAACAAACAAACACCCAAAAGCAAAAGATGCCACTGAGCGAGCGGCCAGCACCTCAACCAGCCTGCATTTCCGCTCCAAGATGTTGTTGCAGGGTGTCAGTGTCAGGTCAAGAGCCCGATCCATCACACTGTCTTGAGCGTTCGCTTCCAAAAGGCTCAAAATAAACCCATCCTTCAGATCTTGACCAACCCGCCAGCTGATGCAGATGTTAAAAAGTACGAGACGCAGTGCGGCCTCCGACCAATTGCTGAGATTATTGGCCACAAACGCTGTGGACTGAGCAGCTCAATGTAGAACATTCTGTGGTCCCGCCAAGGTGCCCACAACACGGCTCAAACCATCCCAAACAACAGAAACTCGGAAAGCAGCTTTGGGTCGAATATGTCGAATGCAGGGACCAACACACTGCGCTACCTGCAAGAAAGAGAGTGCCTGATGCCAAGCACCAGAAAATGAGGGATCAAACTCATGCACACTTTTCAAGCTCGTGGCTCTGCCAACTGAGCAGACTGGCTCCGCAGCCGAAGCACTCAATGCATACATTCCACTGCCAATGCAAATCAACATGCCAAAACGAAGCTGGAAAAGCTGACTGTCACATGCAGTCATCTCAATGCTGTCTCTTTCTCTCTCTACAGGATCAATCTGAAAATTGGAAGGAGTCGTCCACATTGAAGTCCTGCCCACTTAAATGGCTGACATGGGCCAAAAGCAAAACCTGGTGCAAAGGGGATCTGCCCATGTAAGAAAGTGCACGGACGGCACTTTCTATTGTCTCCTATTCTCAGCTCGGACTGCTGATTAATATCTTGTGGCCAGGACTTGCCGATGGCGGTAAGAAAAGCCCCGGGCCACTGACGTCCTACGTATGGCGCGTCTTCTTGCTAGGGCTGCCGTTGCACTGCAGCATTGACTCTACTTGTGCCACCTTCACAGTCTCCCCACGCTTCCAAGACATCTCCGCTGCGATGGTTGCCTGAACTGTGAAACTGGTGCAGCCAACATAGGTGTGGAAAAACTTCAAACTAAAAAGTAGCCCACCATGGAAAATCCCCATAAACCCAAACACAAAGGCCGCCCCACAGTAGGGATGAACAGACCTCACATTGTCACATGACCTCAACTGAGTCACAATCAAAGCCGCAAGCCCAGATTGAGACCGTCCCCAATCGACCTATATTGGGTGGGGCTGCACAAACCTCACACGACCTCAACTGAGTGACAATCAGAACGGCAAGACCTGAGCGTTGTTCTAAATTTCTGTGCAGGCAATAAACACAAACAAATTCCTTTTGCGAGGGCCTACGCGGGGCTTCCACAGCTGCGTGGGTAGCTTACTTGAGTGTTGTCTACATAGCGAAGGCCTACGCGGCGCTTGTGCAGATTGAGTTCTTTGGTGGAAGTGGGGTTTCTTGTGTTTTCTCTTACGCAACCACAGCGAAACCACAAAAGTAGAGCTGTTCAAACTGTAGAAGACAAAGGCATATTATCCGCGCAAGCCGTAGGACAAGACGCGTCAACCCAGAGCTGCAGCAACCTCACGCGGACGCCTGGGAGTTAGTTGGAATCATGGCTTGGTCTTGGATGGGCCGGAGAGGAGCGGTGGGGTGAGGCACCCGGCCCTTACGCAAAGCTTGCGCGGATCCGTGTTTATGTGTGTGTGTCTTTTGGCTGCTTCTTTATTGCGCTGCTTGTGATCCAGCTTCGCGTTACAAGATTTCGAGCCATTCTACATAAGCATCCAGCAAAGTTACCTGAGTCTGGAACAGTCGTGGGATCTGCAAACGAAGATCTGTAGCTGAGCTGTCTTAGACCCTGCTTCCTAGAGTGGACTTTGCCTTTGTTTTGCATCATGCTTGCTATATTGACAAGGACCATGCCACGCCCAGTATGAGCTCTTGTCGCGGCCATGGAAACGCAACAACTTCGTGGCAGGCCTTTTGCCATTTGGCAAACGATAAAAACAGTCTGCGAAAACTTAAGCGGCCTTCAGCAACCTAGGAAAAACACGTGTACACATCCATATTGCTTCACAGATACTACTTTTAATTTCAGGGAGTTTGGAATGCTGTTCCTTTGGAACCATCCCCAATCGACCTGTATTGGGCGGGGGCGTAACACACCTCACGCGGCCTCAACTCAGTGACAATGAGAACGGCAAGACCGGCCTGAGACCGTCCCCAATCGACCTGTATTGAGTGGGGCTTACCAGAACTCGCACGACCTCAACTGAGTCACGATCAAAACCGCAGACCTGGCACTGCAGTCTCCCAAACGTGAAGAACCAAAAGAGTGCCCGCGCCCATTTGTGGTTTTGCGGTTGTCCCCTCTTTGACTTCATGCCATGTTGACCCAAAACAAATCGTCCCTGTTCGGCATCCCCTTTTGGAGAAGACCCTTCACTTTTGGGGGAACACGCCGTTCATTCTGACCCAAACTTACACCCCTGCACAAGTGAATGAGTTTTGCTCGAAAGGGAATGTGAAGGAACGTCAAAGGGCAAAATCGTGAAACATATGGGAAAAGTCAATAGTCTAGCACTGCATTCTGCTCCGAGGCGCCTTCACCACGCGGGGGTGCCGCAGCATCGCCTGCTGCTCTGCCACGTGGCTTTGGCTTTGCGGGCCCGCCTGCACCAACTCGATGAACTCCGTAAGCTCAGAGCGGTAGGCCTTGTGTGCGAGCTACTAGAGATAACTCGTGTGTTGGGGAATCTCTACATATGTATATATAAATAAATAAATCAGATACCCGCAAAACATATAAATATGTACGTTATATATATAAGAGCAGCGTTTTGAACCCAATTCTGGCCGAAGAGAAATATCAAATCCCTTCCG